AGTTAGGAAGAATCCCCAAGGTTAGTAGAATTTTAGAGGGGTTCATAGACTTAAAGACAAGGAACTAAGCCCTCCCTGGAGCAGAATGTAGAAAGCAAACTATGCAATTCATTCATTAAGCTGGCAGGGAAATGAATTTAATATCTAATGTAGAACAATTTGTGTAAAGAAAAGATGGATATTTGGGAACAGTCCAAATGAGGTAATATGGTAAAGGTGCAAGAACAATAAATTCATATGGATTCACATCCTAACTCCACTATTTTCAGGCTATGGAACTTAAGTTTTAATTCTCTCTAGATCTTAGTTCCTTACTATATTATATAGTGACAATAAATCTTATCTCATAGAAGAATGAAATCAAATAATGTAAAGAAGGTTCTTGGTTGTGTTTGGCACATAATAATGATTGAGCAAGTAGCTGCTATCATTACTATGATACAAGTTTACATATTTCTTAATTCATAGGCTTTTTCATGTCCATTTTTATTTTAAGAGGTAAGAGTTACAGTAGATATGTGATGTTTATTTTAACATTTTCCACTACATAAATTTTGAATAAATAATGTAAATTTTCTCAAATGAATTCTAATTTGGTCAGTAAGCCAGAGCTTAGAATAATAGGATTAAACTGTTTGCCTTTAGAATGATATCTGTTCTTTACCAAATTCTTATATATCAGACATTGAGCTGGAATTCTCATGAAAAATCTCTTTTATCTTTGGGATAAAGCTAAGGGATGTATAATATAATTTCCATTCTATAAAAGAGAAAACTACAGACTAAGTGTCATGGTCTAAATTAAAGAATCAGATTTTGAGCTGGAATTCAAATCCAGGCATTATAACTCTGAATGTTTATTGGCATGGAATAATAATTATGACTAGTATTTACTCCATAACTAATCCATGAGGAACTAAAATAATTCTGTAAAAGTTTTCCCATTAAGAAAACATTTTAGGACAACTTCTAAGTAATTCAGCAGAAAAAATATTATTTTACCATAAATTAGGCTCTCTTTGTTCAATTTTTACTATTAGATTTTTAGAATTATTACAAAATTATTCTTTAAAAAAATCCCCACTTCAAAAACTTTATCTGTTACATTTACATAAGTGAAAAAGGAAATGCAATTTTTCATGTGAAATATTCAGATGAAAAAAGCAAGCATGGTTTGAGTGCTATGTTTAGGAGCAAATTGGGAAGGATTTGCTCCCCATGTCCAAATCCTCATCTCATTTTCTCACTTCATGCCAGGAGGATTAGGTTGTGCACATGAGTATGAATGTATGGTTGTGTGCATTAAGTCACTCACTTCTCTTGGAAATTGAACCATTCAATTTTCTCATTTTGATTGACAGTGGCTTCTGTCCATCCAACCTTACCAGAAGTCACCAGCTACCTAACAACACTTGCTACATAGAATATGTATTCTTATATGAATCCATAACAGAAAATTTGCCAAGTCTCTGAGGCAAAATTGTAGCTATGCTAGATAAGTGTAAAGAGGGATGGTTATTTTTCTATAATGTTGACAGTAAGGTTGCATAAATTAGGTTAATAATGTGCAGTGGTAGTCTGTACTGAGTGATAAGTATTATAATTACAAAACAAATATAAGTAAATGCTATACTTCTTTATCCTTAAAGTCCCCATGACTACATTTTCCATAAATAGATTTTATAAAAGAGAGTTGTTTATTGTACTGAGAGCTAGGGAAAAAATGCTACTCCATAAACTAATATTCAGGACCTCGCCTTTAAAAAATTTACTGTTATCACCTCACCAAACTTCAAAAGTGTACGTTTATTTAGAATAATGGGGTGTATATGTAAATCATTTAATTTATTACAGTATCACATTGAATAAGAGTATAAATTGAAACTAATACACAAATTCTACTTTCTATCATTCAGAATATGCTTAACTCCATTAATATAAATCAGTTTTCTAGCCTTATTGCTAAACCTTAAAAAATAATAAAAAAAATATTTACTTGAGAATATTGCCCTTGAGATGTGCATTCTATGGTACTTTGCTTATGTTTTTGCTCCATGAAAAACATTCAAACAATTAATCATTTGGTTTTATTTTTATCAGTAATCTTAATGATTTCTAATTATAAGGGAAAACACCAAAGAATCACAATTGATGAGAGGCAGAATTAGCATTAAACTTAGGGATGTTGTATGGGCAACTGTGGAAGGTGCACATACATCACATTGAGGCAAACTTGAAGAGTGAGAGTTCAGAGGATGTGTACATTTTAAGAACTGATACTTTTTCTTCAGAAATCTACTTAAAAAAATCAAAGAAGACATTTTATCATAAAATGATGGGACTATTTTACCCTAAACATAAACTTTACAAATATGACTTTAAATTTTTGAAATTTAAAAAACTTGAAATTTCTTCCTCAGAGTCAAATATTTTGTGATTTATTAACCATACCATCAGATAAAATAGTGACCTTCTTGTTATTTTCATTTTGCATATATTCATTTGAATAATTTTAAGTAAATAAATAGTAATCTGTGGATTATAGAAGTGATAAAATACCCCTGAGGTAGTATTTTTTCCCCACTCATGAATGTCACATCTCTTCCACAGCTAAAGAAAGTGACAAACTTGAAGTAGAGCAGTGATTGAGACCTTGGGGAGAGAACTGGTCAAAAACATGGTGTTTCTATAGATATTGGGGAGACACTAGCCACTAGGTAGGGTCTCTGAAGATGGGTGAAACCAGGAACAAAGAGTCAAGTATAACTTGACACCACATTTAGTGCTAAGAATTCTTTATTATTTATGACAGTCTTCAATAGTAACTCAAGTAAGTCAAACCAAGAAGAAAATTGCTTGAGGAAGCTTAGAGAGTATTGGCCAGTATAATTTTGCCTCAGTTTTAGAACACCATAAATGGAGCTTTTTTTTTTTTTTATTACATCACTTTCTCAAGTTCTCTGGAGACTGTCCTCACACAGACCCTGATGCTCATTAACTGATTTTGCAAGACTCACTTTATCACCATTTTGACCAAATGGGTCACAGGACTGAGACTCCCAGTTCTCAGAATGACTTGGTCCAACTAGATCAGCAGCTGGTATGTTCCTTTGTATTCACTGAAATTTTACTTTAAGTGGAGTACAGGATGAATCATCATACAAGCAGATTTCTGGGAAAATAAACTAGATATTTTCTGGGTATTGTTTGTCTCTGCTACACCATGTCTTGCTCCAGTTCTTTCACATTGCCCAAATGACTTTTCTAAGAATTCATTTTTTATTCTAGAGAATTTCTTCACTTCCACATTTAACTTTTTAGACAATTTCTCTCTTTCTGTCATATCTCTTGATTGCTACGATTAACTTTTGATAGGATTGAGTCTCTTGGTTGCTTTGTGTGGTCCTTGCATTGAATCCAGTCTGTTGATATCGCCTTTCTTGGACCTCTTCTGTAGCCTATCGGCAGTATACACTTGGTTTTAATAAATAAGGATCCAAGAGATATCACTTTGGAGTACTGGAATGAATGGTATTTTATGCTATTATTAATTAGTTCTGTTTTAATGTATTATAGGGGAATTTTATCCTGCTTTCTCATAATTTATCATGTAAATACCTACTTTGTATCCCACAGTAAAAAAAAAAAAGAGTCCAACAATCTATTTCATAGTTGAAGTATGAAAACCCAAAAGAAAAGATTTCCATATTCAATATAATTTGAAAAGTCCCAGGTATCTGAAATCTAAACAATCAGATTGTTATGATGTATTTTAGGAAGAAAATGGCAGAATAATTGTGTAAGGCAAACTTTGGTTGTGGCATATCTGTAGATAGTCTTTTCTAGGAAAAAGGTATTTTGAAAATTGGACCCATAAAGAAGTTTTTGAAGAAACTTTACTTACGATGCCATTAGTGCCAATAAGCTTAAGCAAGAGCACAGTGGCCCATACAAACACTAACTTGGGTTAAAGTATGGTAGTTCAGTAAAATTGGTTATATTTTAGAGTCCAACAGTTACCTTCCTATAGTAGTAAAGAATGCAGACTGAATAATTTCAGAAGGAAATAGCAGCATCAATGAAACAATCACATAGCACAGACACACTTAAGAAAGTCTTAAAAAGTATCTGTCCAACAGACTCTGAAGCTCCTACCAATTCAGCTTCAGTTATTCCTGTTTTAGATTTAGGAGAATAAAACCACGAGGGTCATGGCCTTTAAGATAATAGGGCACCAGGGACCCACTTGATCATTAGTGCAGCTAGAGAAGGTCCAAAACAAACCAAGTCTACTTTAGTGAAGAAAGTTTTCTTACATCAACATGTGAAAACATTTAGAAAGTTATTAGTATTAGTGTATGTATATACAGTGAAAATAAGTAATTATATAGTTCAATACATATATTTCAAAGATTGTATGAAAACTGAACTTGGATAATAGGTTGAATTGCAATGCTGAAAGCCATTTATGAACTAAATATTACATTACAGAATTTTATGATAGGCTGAACTATATTTCTTGTATTTTAGTTATAATAGCTAACATTGTACTATATTGCAAAACACAGCATACTTAATATTTGTCTGCAGTGAAATATATATTAAGATAGTATATCATACAGTATCTTAAATAGTAAATTTAAGAAGCTTTTGGACTGTTAACAAAATAATGGCCTATGTTCTGAAGCAGAAGTCAGCAAGCTTTTCCTATGAAGGACCACACAGTTCATATTTTGGAATTTGAAGGCTATATAGCCTCTGCTACAATGTTTTCTATAGTACAAAAGCAGTGTTGACCACACAAAAACAAATGAATTTGACTATGTTCTAGTAAAATTTTATTTACAAAATCATACAGTAGGAGGTTTTGGCAATCCTATTATAAAGCAACAGTTTGCGGATCCCTGAACTCTAAAACTTGTTCTGTGTATTTTTTCATCCTATCTGATATGGCTTTATAAAATAGCTGTACAGTTTAATCAAATAATGAAACAACATACCTTTTCCCCAGGAATTCCAGGAGCACCAAATTCACCTTTACTACCATCTGTACCCTAAAATACATAAATTGTTCATTCGATTTTTTTTAAAAAAAGATGAGTTAATAACTAATGTCAAAGAGAATCTACTGTTTCGTAGACAAACTGCTTTTGCTTGCAGCAAATTTGTACAGTTATTAAACTTTTGACCACTTATAAATTGTTAAAAGTCAATAATAAACATCTAATAATCAGAACTAAAACTAGACATTATCCACACAAGTATATGTAATTCAGTTTTGTCATTTCTTTGAAATTCAGCAAAGGTAGGGGTGATTTTATTGCTATTACCTCTACAACAAAATGAGTTTGAGTTAAAAGCTACTTCCTACTTGATCCCTTCAATTCAAATGAGTCATGAGATTTCAGACTCTAAGATACCCATAATATCTGTATCAAAGGATGTACCTTCCTGTACATCCTTTAGGAAACCCTGAAGCTGGGTCAATCTGTCAGCGTGGCTGCTCTTCTACCTACACTGCCAAGTGGGACTGGAAAATCTACCCCATGGAGCCTATGGAACACCTATGAATGCCTTACTGGATTTATCAGAAATTCGATCTAATAAACTTATTCTTGAAGGAGTCAAAAATACAAACTTTATGAATGAGTATCTTTATCACTAATGCATGGTAGAGATTAAGAAATATAATTTTGTGAATACATAAACCATTATTACATAGACATTATTTTTTAATTTCAGGTTTAAGACACACAAGTATATTTAATCTTTGAAGTCCTATAAATTATATGAGACTATGTAAGATTGGAAAAAATGATTAAAAAAAGATATGTGAATTAATATAATATATTTTGTATGGGATTTTAAAAATGAAGAAACATTTCTTATATTAGGCAAAGAAGTCAAAAGCATGATATTAAATTCTACTTCTGTGAGATTATAAAGTATTCTTTCTTTTAACAAATTATGAACATATTTTAATTCAATTAACTTTCATTGTGCTATGGTTATGGGATAGGCAATCTCAGAGTAATGAGAGATTTAAAAAATAAAGGAAACAGTAGTCATCTTTGGATTAGCACATCAGACTATTATTAAAAATGGAATCTTCTGTAGTGGGAGCAGAGAGTGGTAGAAGTTGAAAGGGATCAACACCAGTTTCTGACCAAAGAGTTAAATAGGTTAACTTATTCCATTTTAAGCTTTTTTTTCCCTCAAAGTATACCAGCAAAGCATTTATTCATAAAGATATTTTGGGAAATTAACTGGAGACGTGGATGACAATAATGTAAAAATATACTGGAAAATTATTCCTCCAAAAGAGGAATCACAATCCTCCCTTAGGTTCAGGAAAATTAAAAATTCTCTGCTACTTTACAAAACTCTGAAAGAATTTTCAGTCTGATAATGTTGAGGGTATTAGAAAGGGTCTTAAAGAACTAAGAATGTTAGTGGTTGCTAAGTAATTAGGTTGCTAACTATACTTGCTAAAAGAAAAGGGAATTAAAAGATTCAGAAAATTATAATAATTGAGTCTGAATGAAAGAAAAGTGTTAATTATCATTTTGAATAATGTCATGTGGAGTTTAGTCTTGGACACAGGGCATGATTAGAATAGTTTCATCAGGTGTTCCTGAGAAAACTGATCACAACCAGGTGTTTAAGCACAGCAGTGGAATTTCAAACTGTATTACTTCATGAAAGGGAGGCATCAGCTTTATGAAAAGAACAGAAACAAAAAAACAGTAAATCATATTAATGAAGATCATAGTATGGATGAGAAAAGTAGACAAATAATAATAAACATTATATCTTGCCATAACTTGTGGCTTACTTAAAAATATTTGTGATTCTTCAATAACTAATTGGAAATAAAGGTACAATTGATCAGATCAATATGTGAAAGGAATTTTGATTTTTTTGTAAGGAAAAAGTAGCAGAACAACATTGAATAATATCACACTCATGATTATCTTATCTAGTTTTTCCTTATAAATTGACTAAGTCTTACTCAGCAGAATTTCCTTGGAAATTGTGAAGTAGAACTTGTAGGTTCTATAGTCACTTGATGATTTGCACTTTCCTTGAAGGAGAGTGTTCATTCATTCATTCATTCAACATTTTTAGCTCCTACTATATAGCCTGTTCTATGGAGCTCTAAAGACTCATATTCTAGTGGAGAAACACAAATGCTTGGTGGTAATGTGTTAGGTAGCAACAAAGGTGCTAGGAAAAGTAAGAAAGAGGTGGGATGAATAAATACTTTCTATAAAGAGATATCAGCAAAGGTCTCTTTATTTTAAAGGGATTTCTGAGCATGGGCATAATTGACATGAAGGAGAGAAGCAAGTGGATATCCAGAAGAAAATTCCAGGTATATGAGACCTGGTGTAAAGAACTTGGAGCAGGAATGAACAACAGGAGAGAGTGGCGGGCAGTGTAGAGTGGGAATGGAATAGGGAAAGCTCTACCAGTATGTGAAGCCTCATAGCCCATGGAGAGAGGCTGAGGTTTGTCTTAAGGGAGACAGGAAATCATTATTGGGTTTTGGCCCAGGTGGGACAGGATTTACTTACAGAACAGTTATCTAACTCATTCTGTATTTAAAATCTGTTCTTCATAAAGTTACTACATTACAATAAGGATTCTCAAACTTTAACACCTTTAGAAATATTTTGATGAGTACTGCATAATTTAAAAAGAGATCTCAAAGCTGTATTCCAAATTTTTCCATTATTTTATGATGGAATCATCATAAAATAATGACCCAGATCTCACTGGGTCAAGAGTAAAAGGCATCAAAAGACTAATAGACTATATCTCATGTCTAATGAGAAAAAGCAAATTATAATGAGGTCTGGACGACTAACCCACATTATCTCAGTGTAACAATGCAAAAAGATCTCTTAAGGTCTGGGTTTGTGGCTCAGAGGTAGAGCACTTGCCTAGCACATGTGGGGCATTGGGTTCAATCCTCAGCACCCCCATAAAAATAAATAAATAAAATAAAGGTATTATGTCCACTTGCAATGAAAAAAAGTTTTAAAAATATTTTCAAAACTAGAATAAATAGAGTAAACTCTATTCAGAAAAGATCAGATAACATTTGGGACACAACACACAGAATTCAATATTCACATCATTGATCTTTTGAGGAAATTAATTATCAAATATCAATATCACTAAGTAGTAAAAGTAGTATGTAATAACTAAAAATTTTGTATAGTAAAAACATCTAATGGATTGAAAATTCTCACAAAGGAAGATTTTTGTTTTTCATCAAGTCACATATAAAATTCAACTCAGCCTAAAAAAGCTATCTCTATTTCTCCTTCAGTATGTGATCAATTATGTTATAGACAAGAAGAGCAAGCAAATTCCTTGAATGTGTAAATATGGCAGTTTGCATTACTAAGTGCTTTGCATACAGTATGTTATATTTATTTCTTTTTCACAATCAACAACAGACTAGGTATTAAGATTTATTTTCAAAGTCCCTAAGAAATGGACCAGATTCAACCCAAACTGTTTCAAGCTCCAAGGTGGGTAGTCTTTCCAATATACTCTCTTACTTCCCAAAACTATTCTTTCCTGGGCTTACAGATCAAAAGTAACAATTTTTAGAACAATGTTTGGTTCCATTAGAAACGCTGCAATTCAGATCATTTCATAAGAATCACTATTCAACATCCACAATCACAGTGCAACTTAGATTGAGAAGTTAAGCAAGCTTTCTGTGCACTTTCCTTATAATAAAAACTGTGTGCAGGAATCAAACACCAAGGAAAGCCTTCTTTATTTATTGAACAGTAAAGCTGGAGGATCACATAGCACAATAGAAACAGGAACAAACTCACCAACTCCTTAAAATGGAATAAGACATCCATGTTTATTACAAATGCCAGGAAAGTTAAATGCATTCATAGCCATGTTTCTAAAATCATTTTTACAAGGCCAGGTCCTACTGGTTGAAGCAAATACTGGTACAAATAAAGGAAATGTATTTACTTTATTTTGTAGATTAATTACCAACTTATTTGATCTCAGCTATTTTTACCCCACCACTAAAAATATCTTGCCATTATAAATTGTATGTATCCTGAAATTTTAAACAAATTTTAATACTTTAAAAATAACATAGATAAGATATCATATAATGCATTATAACTATAATATACATTTTGCATAAGGCATTTCATAGATTTGATATACAAAATTTTTCTAATATTTATCATCTTCCCACCCCTTTTCTACTGTTGTTTATTTATATATGATACAGGAATGTTCCCTAAACAAATCACCACAAGATTATAAACTCAGGACAGGCCCTGTTGCTTTTTGGGTTCTGATGAAGCCCCAGCATCTAATCTAGCACACTTTCTATTATAATATTAGGTCATCAATATACAGTTGTGGTTGGCTAACAAAGAATAATAGATATTTAGATTGTTAGAGTAGAAGATATTTTACTTAAAAAGAATATGTTTTTAGAAGGTATAAACTCTAACAGTTTACTAACTAACACACATGGAGTTTCTCTGTGTTAGTAATCTTAAATAATTGATAAATCATAGAAGTGGAAAGCCAAATTAAGGAGTATGTATGAGTGTGTATCACATCACAGTCATCAGCAATTAAGCCATATATGCCTTTTTAAAACATTTGTGTCACCTTATGATGTAGTTATATATCCTCCTTACAGAAGAGGAAAGTGAAGGATCTGCAGACAGGGGATTTGGGCAAGTTTATATTGCTAGCCAAGAGGTCAAGATTAATCCAGAGATCTTTCTACTCTGAATTTTCTTAATCATGTTACCTATGCTTGGTTCTACCAGCTGTTAAGATGAGGATAATAATATCACTGACTTTCCTTATGAGGTTATAAGGAGAGAATAAGATATTACAAAGCAACAAGCATCCTGCTCACAGAATGCATAATATTGAAGTGCTTCTAGAAGACAGAGCAGCCTTCAAAATGGATACTGGCTAAGAGAAGGACACTGGAATCAATAGGTCTGGGTTCAGATCCCAAGTTGGCCTCAAGCTATCTGGTCTTGGGCAATAATTTAACCTCCCTAAACCTCAGGTTTTCCATCTGAAAAATGGTAATGCTAATTTGTAACACAAAGAACATTATGAGGATAAGGTAACATATCTAAAAAGTATTCTTCTCAGTGCCAGGCACATGGTAAACACTAAACAAATACCACTGCTCTAATGATTTGTATGTTTCTTTAAAGGTAACTACTTGTTTAATGATTTTGATTTTTCATATAATGATACTGAAAGTAAAGGAACCCCTAAGAAATTCTGATATAAATCATCATAAATGCCTTGTTCCACCTCAAGAATCTCTTATCTATTTCCTGCTAAGGTGCCACAGGTTCCCATGCAAGGTATCATGGGCAGAATTCCTGTGAATGTCACCTGACTGTAGCTTTGTTGAAGTTTTGAAGAATCAGTCACCTTCCAGATATTAGCTTCTGCCTTTTAAAAAAGAAGTCCAGCTTGATTATGCAAATAAACTGGAATCATGGACTTGGAATTCAAGGCATGAAAAGAACTGAAATCCAATTCATCTTGGAAAAATTATCAAAACAGAATTCCTAACCTTAGTACAAATTAATTTACCTGATTGGATAACAAAAGACATTATTCAAAAAAGTGGAAAACTTACAGTTAAATCTGAGGTGGGTATAAGGGAAAGGCAAATTTCTAAGCATAGGATACTGCCTATGATTACATACTTAGACACTCAGCTCAGTCACTATCTCCTCCATTAAATTCTTCCCAGTCTCCTCTGGAGGTTCCTGCCACTATCATAGTATCTAACTCACAATGTCCCTTTATCTCCTTCTAGATGTAAAATCCTGGTGAACAGGGAATGTATCCTGTTCTATATGACTCCTACAGCATCCAACAACAAACCTCACAGATGGAGGGTATTTAACAAAAGTTGGCTACTGAAAAATCTTTAGTAGAGACACGTCAGCATTCAAGAGAAACAAGAATTCATCAAGTATTTGGAGAAGACAATGCTAAAGGAATCTAGAAACAACTAAACAATATGCCTGCTTCATGGTTTTGTTTAGCATTTATAGATACAAAGACTTAGTTCTAGGTTTTTTCAAGCTTCCAGCCTGCTTTCCAATGTGATATCAAATGCAGCCTTGAATACTGTTGTACTTCTTAATTTCAGTAATCAACATCTTAATATAGTCCTTGAGAGCCTTTTACAGAAACATAGGGGTATTGAGCATAGAAAAATGAGATTGAGGCAAACACTCTACCAACTGAGCTACAATGGAAGGAGACCCTTATTGCTATACAAAATTACATATAAGAGGATGTGAGGGGAAAGGGAAAAAAAACAAGAGAGAGAAATGAACTACAGTAGATGGGGTAGAGAGAGAACATGGGAGGGGAGGGGCGGGGAGGGGGTATAGGAAGGGGATAGGAAAGGCAGCAGAATACAACAGACACTAGTATGGCAATATGTAAAAACGTGGATGTGTAACCAATGTGAATCTGCAATATGTATACGTGGTAAAAATGGGAGTTCATAACCCACTTGAATCAAATGTATGAAATATGATATGTCAAGAGCATTGTAATGTTTTGAACAACCAATAAAAAAAAGAAAAAAGAAAAATGAGGTTGACACATATTTTAAGTCACTTTTGAACAAACCCCTCTGTCCCGACAGTTTTTGAGTATCTTACCGGCTCTCCTTTCTGCCCAGGTGAACCTGGAGTCCCTGGTAATCCTGCTTCTCCCTGAGAAAAAAATGAATTTCTGTGTTATCAAACATTCTGTCATGTTGATCTCAAGCCAAATTGTATATGAATATGAAGCTGGCAACTGTAAGCGATGCTCATTCCTTCGCCAGAAGACTTTCTCATGTCCTTCATGAAGTTCATTATTCCTCCGGCTTCGAAACACCATTTAAATCATCTCCTCCAGGAGCTGGAGCATGGGATGCTCCTCCACTGAGCACCTCCATTGTCCTTGTCTTTCTTATGGAGTTTGCCATGCAATGTTGCTCATGACAGGACACGGCCTGCTTTTTAGCCCAGATCCTAAGACTGCCGTTAACATCCATAAAAGAAATTCATGTAGGTCCATGGATTCAGCCTCCCTGACCAAAGGACCATATCAGGGACAGTGAAAAACATTATTATTATTTCCCTGCATATATACTGACAATTAATGGGAATAGCTAGAAACTGGGGGATACCAGACAAATACCATAAACACACAACAAATAAATACTATCTAATGTGTTTCTGTATATGTTTATTAAAGAGTAGGAACTGTGTTTCCTTCAACCTGAATTCCCAGAACTGTAGCCTACTCCTAGTTCATGCTAAGTACTCAGTACTTTCCTATTCAGGTGGTTCCTCCCTTCGCCCTTTTATCAATACTGATTAACACCCTGAAAGGAAGGTCAGAGGCACTCAGAACTATGCAGGTGAAAACCCAAGAAATTCAATCTTCAATCCCTTTTTGTTTGGTATTTGGATGACTATGTAGCTAAGGAATTTGATTCGATTAACACCCAAGAACAAGACACATGCTGTTCACCCTAGGCCACAGTCAAGGAGCCAGGTTTGCTATCTGGAGTGGCTTTTCAGTGGGCACAAATTAAAACAAGCATACCTTGCTTGGAACGCACTGGCACAAGTCTCTAAATTCCTGCTTTGTGGGCAGAAATGTAGACAGTTTACTGGCATGAGCAGTTACGGATGATGACGCAGTACTTCCAAAATCATCCTGCTCTGGGCACTAAAACCAAAAAACAGGATTTAGAGGATGGGTTCAACTCCAGACAGTGGGTCCCCCCACACTAGGGCTGGCTGGTGGTCTATAAGAACTTCCTTCTTTTAATTTGTGGTGCTGGGGATCCAGAACTTCCTTGTTATTAACCTAATGTTGACACCTGTGTGTGAAATCACACATTTGCTCTGTCACTGAGCCCCCAATGTATTTAATTGCACTGACAACACATAAGGAATGTATAAAACTGATGGTGTGAGGAGTTCTAAAGCTGTGTTATATGACTTAATGATACAGTAATATTGTACACTTATAATGATTGCATTCATATGATGAAATGATTTCTGCAAACAACATGTGAGTGTGTATTTGGGGAACAAAAAGTTAAATCATATAATTTGAATTTGTAAAATATAATTTGATAAGATGATTGTAAAGGCCTATAAAGTAAAAAAAAGTAATTTTTATACTCTAGGGTGATACTTAATCAAAATATGCCTTATTCTAGTTCAATATCCTTTAAAGATACTAAGAAGGTCTTTACCATAACATAGAAGTGGTGAATTTTATTCTTGTCCAGTGAGTTTAGAACATGCTGGACGAGACGAAGTTTGGTTATAAAGAAATAAACTATTTTTTTTCTCTTGAAAATTTAATCTAGATGGAGATTCTGAAGAGCTTTTAAATGTATCTTTTCTTTTTAGTATCACGTACCAAGCTTCTCACCATGATTAACTCTGAATTTGCAGTTTCATGAAGGGAATGCATTAGGGAAAAGAGTGCATGCATTACTTTCTATACTACAAATTACATATACCTGGGAATGTAGTTTCAGATGTAAAATAAAATACTATCCGTGATTATCTACTGTGGTGTAAGGTCATAGTTGATATGTACTTCTTTCTTTTTATTTTTGTGTATTTCCTAAGTTTTCTAAGATAAACATGTATAACTATGTAAAAAAATTATTTTGAAAAATGGGTAGTACTCTAATGTTTGTACTAACAATAAAAAACAGTAGCATAACTAGCACCCAGAACTACTACAGCTGGTGCTAGTTCTTTCATACCTACTCCGCCAATAGTTCTTTCATACCTACTCTCTCTATATTGAGTGATGATTAGTTATCTTAAGAAGTTTCTAAATCCAAAAGTCTAAACACCACATTCAAATGAAACAAGTTATCATCAAGGCAGTTCGTTCATCTGATGTTTAGTTATTATTTTCTAGTCAGTTTTTGCTCCATAGGTTCCTGGTGAAATAATCAAGATCCCTTAGGATTTATAATTTTAACCTAAACTTGAGCAATTAAATTGGTGCTTTAAAACTTCTTTAAAATCTTTTCTTTGGCTTCACTGTAAAACTGTCCACCTCTCCAAAACTGCCTAAGGCAAATAGACATATATAAGTAGGGACCACATCTCTCACAAAAACCTCTGGTTTTGATTTGACACATGTAGTTAATTAGCCCTTATAATTTTAATCACATTTCTCATTAATTTTCAACAAATGTTGCTGATCTCCTTCCTCTCTTATATTTATTCATTTTTGTGTCTGCAATCATGAAACTTGACTATTTCAGAAACTGATGTAATTTAATAAAAGTGAAGTGGCATGTTTAAAGGTGATCTTGAATAATTCTCACCTTTGAAATGCTCTGTAAGATATTAATACCAAAAAAATCTGTGACTTGAAATTCTAGGACAAAATTAGATTTTTTAGACACATTTACTAACATTTTTTGACTTCAAAACCTTTTGAAAAAAACAGAAAAGAAGAAGGAAGAAAGAAGAAAGAAAAGATATAATTGTTATCAAAAGTTGGTGCATTTAAATGGTTTGTACATAACATCTCTAAAACTATACACCTCTATTTTCAAAATGTAGCATGTTTCTATTTACTAATAGTAGATGGTGATACTCTATCCCCCAAATAATCAGCATGAAAAAATATAGTCCTTGGTTATTCTTTCCCATAGTTGGGGTGAATTCCTAATTTATTTTCTACTCTAAAACTAATTCCCAAATTATTATTTTAAACAATTTTCATTTGCAATGTGTGAGGTCACGTCACAGCTTTTAATTACTAAAACACTCCATCAAATCCATCACTTATACTTCCTCAAACATTTTTTTTTCCACTGGAATTCAAGTTGAAAATACATTGTTAAGTAATGACATGCCACAGTGATTATTGGCCAAAAATACAATGTTTAGATACATAAAACCATTGTGCTGCTTCTCAAAGAATATTATTTTAAGAACTTGTACATTTTGAGCAACTAATAAAAAAAAGAAAGAAATTATTTAAGTAATGTTACATTGCTGGCATCAGGGTGAAGAAATAGCAAAGAAATATTTCGAAATGGAGGAAATTCTAAAAATGAAATAAAAGTACTTTTTTTAAAAAAAAAGTATAATTAATTTAAAAAACTTCTGGAAAATTAATGTCTTCAAGATTTATATGTGTGGCTCCAGGAAGTCTTGGTATTTCAAGTCTGCATATTGGCATTCTAAATTACCTTTTTAGATATTTATAGAAAGATATTTGGCTGGCTTTCATTTTACTTGAAATGAGAGCCATAAACTGGGTTGGAGTTGTGCTTTATACAACCAATTTACATAAGCAAAACATATAATATTTTTAAGACTAGCTATGCTTATCACTGAACTACATTCTTATTCCGCGCTACCCAAAAAACATGAGAGAAGTTACAAATATTTTTTAGTTACAAATTACTGATTACACTTTCATATAATTTTTCTTTGGCAAGCATAGAACTTCTAGGAAATCTAAAATATAAATAGAAAGCATTTTTCATTTTTCACTTTTTTTTGGTAAGTTTTTTAGAATTACTCCCTTTCAAATGCCTTTCCTGTAGCATTTGGCAAGTCACCAAATCAAGGAAATAATGCTTTGACTAACTTCTGTGAACAAAGCACTAGAAATAAAAAAGGTGAGTATAAAAAATAAAGCTTCCCTCTCTGAGTCTAAATTAAAAACAAATATGATTATATCTAATAACAAGATGGCACCTGTGACCATTACATGTAGAGAATTATCAAATTCCGTGCTTTCATTAGAATAAATTATAGGTATAAGAAAGTAATAGTTGTACAGTTAGGTTGGGAATATTTAGAATAAGAGGATAATGAACTGGACTTATATTTTGTTGCCAATATATAATCACCTAAGATTTTGAGAAAAGATGAATAGACAGGGAAAGTATTCATATTTGTTAGCCCTGTTCATTAGCACAGTGTCTGAAAGATCTTTCTTTTTCTCCCTCCCTCCCCTCACCTCCCCTCCCCTCCTCCTCCTCCTCGTCCTCCTCCTCCTACACTTCCTCCTTCTTCTTTTTTTCAGTACTGGGGATTGAACCCAGGGTGCTCTACCACTGAGTCATATCCCTAACCCTTTCTTTATCCTTTCTTTATTTTTTAAATTTTGAGACAGGGTCTTGCTAAATTGCTGAGGCTGGCCTTAAATTTACAATCTTCTTGCCTCAGCCTCCAGAGTTGTTGGAATTAAAGGTGTGTACCACCATGACCAGCAGATCAGTGTTTTTGAATAATAAACATGTGTGAAGCAAGTAAATGAATATATACAGTAGTGATCCAGAGACTTAGTCTGGTCATCTACATGCCACCCTTGCCTTCCCCGCAAAAAGACAGGAAATGAAAAAGGCTACGACACAATGATAAAGTAAGTGTCCAGGCACAATGTTAAAATGGACTTTGTCAATAACAGGAAAAAGGAAGATGAGAATGAAAAGTGTATCACAAAGGGAAAGCAGCTAGGATCGAATCTCCTTTAGAATAAAATGGTTGGATTGATTTATCTACTTTATTCTTCTTGTTTTCTCAAGTCCTGAAATATAATTAGTTATGTTTACATAGTGAGATTTGGATACTATGTCAAAATATATTTTCAAATTTGAAATGACAGAATCATTTTATATTTAAAAAATAATTAAAAAGGAAATTCTTCATTATACTAGTAACAGAAATACGATATATGAAATATTCTTTAAAGAAATAATTTTGTACTTTGGTATCATGGACTTCTTAATTTTAGGTAAATAAAACTGAGACTAGAATAAATGGTAAAATAAATGGTAAAATATGTTTTATCTGTGTTTCATAATTTCTGCCTAGAACCTATGGATTTTATACTATATTGGTATACTATATAGGTCAGAGTTGAGATGCATTTTTAGGATGTCACAATTTAAATCTTTCTTGGCAGTTATGCCTAGTATTCAAAATGAGTGCAAGAATGTTAAATACAGCCAGGATGGGTGGAGCTAGTGAGAACAAAGTCTGATCACAGATTTAAATCTTTGTAAAGGGAAAATGATGGCACTACTATCAGAACACGGTTTTGGGAAAAGGCATAACTCTTATTCAAGTGATGTTGTCTAAAGTGGGGGCATATCATCCCCAAAATTCAGTGTGGAATTCTGGGGTTAAAACTTTGGAAACTGTGGAAAAGCACTAAGAAGGCTTCCACACCTAGAATACATTAGTCCCATGGCTTCAGTTGAAGATACCAGGCACTGCCCTATGTTTGGACCATATAGATTATGCAACTAAAAGATAATTGGCCTTCTTCATTCTTCACATACTGAGAAAATTAACTTACCTTAGTAGCTGATATTTCACAACATGTTTCTTGAGTTATGAAGTTTGCATTACAGTAGATTTTAAGTTGGTGAAGTTCAATCTATTAAAACAATTAGTAGTAAGACATCATTAATATTTTTGAGAATTGCATCTAGGCAGCCAATAACTACATTAATTTAACTGAAAAGAAAAAGGAATAAATTGCTGGTAGATATTTTTATTTAATTTAGGATTCGTTATTTCATGGATCACTTGGAAAATAGAGTCAGATATACAGGCAGATCTATAGATAAAGGAAATCAGGTAATGAAATTAATTGCAAACCTTAGCTAACTTTTTCCAACAATAAAAAAAGTGTTTAATTAAAGAGAGGGGTTGGTAGGCACTACAATGAAGTATGTGCACAATATGAGGACATTTCAATGTAATAATTGGAGAAAAAATGAGGTCTGAGGTGTGAGTAGGTGATGGAAAGGCTTTATCTATAGTTCCAGACCTCTTATTTGAGGTACTGAAATAGTTGCACTGTTTTATCTATGTTTCATAAATTCTGCCTAGAACCTATGGATTTTATACTATATTGGTATAATTCTAAGGAAGACTCACTATCTTTTTAGAAAAATAATTGATTCTTTTGCTCCACAGATTCACTTTTAGTTTTTCTAGGTATTTGAACATGAAATTGGAAGCAGAACAAGTAAAGTATAATCTTGACTTTAACTGAAAGATCAACTGACTGTCTAAGAAAAATAATACTGGTGGGGAAAAAAAACAGTATACTAAATGCTTAAATAGGATGAACTCCTTAAGCACTGACATATTATATTAAATAATGCTTTATATGAGTAGGTATTTATGGGGACCTTCAAATTAGACTGTGGTTGGATATTTATGAATTTAATCAATAATTCTATGATGATTTGATTATAATATGGATTAGGAATCTTAACCCTTCCTTCTTCCTTTCTCCTCTCTCTCTACCTTGCTCTCTTTGTATTTCCCAATGTAATAGAGCTAGATTATGCATTGCTCTGAGGTCAATCAATAATTACTTTATATAGAAAGACTAAATTGTAAAGTTATGATCCTATCATAATAGAAGGCAGACATCTTTCATTAATTATGAAACTTTAAAAAATAAAATAAAAAATAAAAATGGAAAAAAAATCTGTAACTTTTACTCTGCACTGAGATGAACAAAATCAAAATCAGTTTAGCTTCAAGGAAGCATTAGGAACTCCAAACATGTGTGGAATAATGAATAGCCTAAGATTTGTAGATAATGCAAAATTCTGAGTTTAAATAAAATTTAATGATTTTTTGTGGCCTGGGGATTGAACTCAGGGGCACTCAACCACTGAGCTACATCCCCAGCCCTATTTTATATTTTATTTAGACATAGGGTCTCACTGAGTTACTAAGCACCTCGCCATTACCCAGGCTGGCTCTGAACTTGTGATCCTCCTGCCTCAGCCTCCAGAGCTGCTGGGATTACAGGTGTGCACCACCGTGCCCAGCTGGCTAATGATTTATTTTCAATAACTTTTTGCAAGGTTACCAAGGCTAACTTTTATTTGTAAAAATATAATAAGCCCACTGTTTTCCATAGTCTAATGAAATACTGACAGTAACATATAAGTTATGTAGAATGAGGAATGGGGATTCCATTTAATTAATATTGTTCTTAGTGAAAACTCATCATCAACATTGTTATCAAAATGGACAAGAAATATTGAATTCTTATTATGTGCCATCCACTGTGCTAGGCCTGAATATGAATTATTTTACCTAACTAAAGATTGATTATCATTTTTCGAAGGACTGGAACTTAATCAAGTAACTATGACATTGAAACTACAATCAACTCTGTCTTTTTTATTCATTTAATATCTTATAATTCCTCACTGATACAGTGCTTTAGAAAGAGAATGTGTAGGACTAAATTATAGATTGACTCTTGTCAAAGTGAAGATTTATTTTAAAAAATCTTTTTTATATTATCCTCATCACCTCTTTCCCATAAAAGCACAAGCATCTGAATAAATAAAACATCGTCATACTCCAACAGGTCTTATGAATCAGAGAACTTGCATAGAGATGAGGGAAAAAATAGTCCATTTGGAGCTTTAGTAGGATCAGAAATCTTAATACACACACACACACACACACACACACATTTTGCTTGGTTGTTTAGTTCAGTGACAATCTCATGATATGCCTTCAATTTCATCCTCAACTAATGAGACCACATTACAGTATGAAATCCCCACACAGTAGTAGTGAAAGCACTCTTTAGTAGTACCATAATTTTGACATTACTTTTATAAGGACATGCCTGATATATTCTTCAGCCTTATGTTCTGGGGTCAATTCTGTCATCAGGTGAGAAGTTAATGAGACACAGGACACTTAATCTTCAGAAGTTTAGCTCAAAGACCAGTTACCACTAGCCATAACTCACTCCTCTCTTCTGCTGCCCCTCTTCCCATAAATTTATCTCTGTTCTTTGGTTCTTTCAGATCCTCTGGAAACAGAACCCACTTTGCTCTTCCTAATCTGGAGAGAAATCTATTTTCTTCCCTTGTGATTAAACTCATAGTCTCCTGATTACCTGCGGGTCCCCATTCCCTGTTTTGCCTTGGACAGTCTTTTCTGAAAGGTCTGTCTAGTACTATTTTTATTGTGATTAATAATATTAGCAGTTGTAGCCACCATTTACTGACATATTTTAATCATTCTGTTGAACTTTGATATTTCTTTTTTTTTGAACTTTGATATTTCAAGATCCCAAAGATTAGTGTTTTCCTTTTTCATCTTCTTATGGCAGGGCTGAATGCCATGTCTAGTCCTGACTAGATAAATGAATTTATAGAGAACTGACCACACATTAGGCACTACTGCATAGACACAATACAACTAGCAACTCCATCATCTCTGTTTTATAATTGAAGATATTGAGGCTCAGAAGAATGTGTTAAAATCTCATCTGTCTGAGCCTCAAACCGCTTATTCTCCCTGTTGCCATCATGGCCTGTCCTCAGAATGGGTGGCCTCTGCTCTGACCTGTTTTGATGTTCATCTCTGTTCCCTGGTTATGACATTCTAACTGATTTGCTCACTTACTGTCTCTGAGAGAAAAGACTTCAAAAATAATAGTTTATTGAGTATTTATAATTATACACACATACGCACACATATATGCATATATGTATGCATGTATATGGTGCATGCATACATTATATATAATAGTGCATATATTCATACACACACTCACACACTTCCAGAGGGTCCTTTAGAAATAAGCTTGCCAAATATGTATTTGTATAAAGCTGTATTTTTGAAATAAAATCAAACTGTCAAGTACTTTGTGTTAACAGGAATGGCATTCCTACTGGTAATCAGCAGTTGGAATTTTAGGGACTTTCCTACTATCAAATATAGTAGCCATCAAATTTAGATATATCTCACTTTTTTAAAGATCATAGGCCTCTCTTTCTAGGGAAATCAATAATAAATCTATATCATCTTAGCTTCAGAAGTAATTTTAAAGGAACTCTTCATCTGAAAGAGTTTTTCTAGCCAATTTTTCTCATCCAAATGACCTACTGAAGCATTCAGTGATTGTATTTCAGTCTAAAAGAACCCTGAAAAACCATTATAAGCTTATAAAAAGTAGTCTGTAACACAAAGCAATTGCTATTGTGAGGGTGAATAAATAGCCTATTGTTCTTGAGTGAAAAGACCAGATAATCTGGAACCAGTTAATTTAAAGTTCATCTTTTCCCAATCCTTTCTATTCAAAACATATGGACTTAGACCAAACTCACATTTTGTGTACTATTTTCAATTTTTAATAAAGTTTACTTTTAATAATCTTATTTTTTTAAGCGAGAGAGAGAATTTTTTTAATATTTATTTTTTAGTTTTCAGCTGACACAACATCTTTGTTTGTATGCGATGCTGAGGATCGAACCCAGGCCACACGCATGCCAGGCGAGCCACATCCCCAGCCCAATAATCTTATGTTTAAGGCATGCCCAAATTCTTTTAAATTCACTGACTAGAGAAAATGGGTGAAAATAGCAGATAATATGTATGAAAATAAAACTGGAAAGAAATAATTTCATATATCAGTGGGCAATTAAACAGTGATAAGAAGCAGGTCCGTTACGTTACATAGTAATCAGAGGGAGACATTTTTCCATAAGATAATTTTTACTTGAAAATGGTGCTAATTCTCCTTCACAACCACCACGACTTACGTCCACAGGCTTGCCATCAGCAGCTCGTGCCACCAGAACTGTCCTCCCATGAAAATCCACAGTGTCCTTCGCATCAGTCTGCCGGCTTGCAATTAAACTGCAATCCACATAGAGTGAAAGGACCTGGGATTGTATGCTGAAGCCAAGTTTATGCCACTGACGGTCAAACAAAGGACGGAGTTCCCGATTTTTAAAAATGTAATTCAACATGTCTCCCCCAGCAGCTCGGAACATAAACTCTACCACCTTCTTTCCACCGTCAATTATGACAGAAATCTGAAAAAAAATGCAAATTATTTTTGAATGTTCTAAAAATCAATGTTCAAAATTATTAAAGCACCCAAGTATAATCTCAAGATGCTTGTTAATATATGATGCATTTAGTAAAATACTTTAGATGACACCTGTGCCTACCAGATTTTTAATAAGAAACAAAAGTAAACACTTGCTTCAAAATTGAGTTTGACATGGGCTATCCAGTGAATGTAATATACTCTTTCTTGAGAGAACATCTAAGAGTGGGTATGTGTCTATAAATTCATAACTGTATTGTATGTTTTATAAGTAAAAGTATAAATTTACCTAAAATATAAGGTTTACATTTTAGAGCATACTGTATAGATTATATACTTTATCTAAATATAAGCTTATATATAATTTATTGTTTTGTGTGAATAATTCAAGAATTCAAGGTTACCAATTTAGTGAGAATATGATTATTTATCTTTTGCATGGATGTTGAGATCTACTTCTTTAATTTTTGATAATTTGCATGACAAAAAAATATGTGTGAAGAACATACTGTCCTCCCTCCCTCTATCTTCTTATTCCACTGATTTCCCAACCAATGTTGCCATTGATATTTTGATTAGTGCATTATATGACTCATTGTGATTTATTTTTAAATAGATATAGCATAATTTGGTAATTTTATTCCCGATGCCCATCCTTCCCCCACCCCCGATCTCTTTTCTCAAATTTATTGATCTTTCCATTTTCATGAGATGCCCCTCACCCCTTTTTTCATCTCTTTAGTTTCTGCACATGAGAGAAAATAGTTGAGCCTCAATTTTCTGAGTTTGGCTTAATTACTTAGCATGATAGTCTCTAATTCCATCCATTTATCTACAAATGACATAATTTCATCCTTCTTTAAGGTTTCATTGTGTATATATAGCACAATTTCTTTATCCATTCATCTACTGAAGGACACCTAGGCTGGTTCCATAACTTGGCTATTGTGAATTATGTGGCTATTAACATTGGTATGAATGCATCATTATAGTATGCTGATTTTAGATCTTTCAGATAAATACCAAAGAGCAGAAGAACAGCTGGAGTATATGGTGGTCCCATTCCTAGTCTTCTAAGGAATCAAAAAATCACTTTAAAAATAATACATAATATCAGAGTTGATAGAAGATAAAGAAATTATTAGGGAAGTGGAAGTTCAATGAAAGTTGCAAAGGAGAGCAGTTTCAGCTTCTTCAGACAAAATATGGATATCAGAGTTAAAAAGAATCCTGTCTCACCCACAAGACTATCACATTATAGATCTGAGCAAGCCTATCCTAATTATAAAACTTGTAATTGCCTCTTGATAACTCCTGAAAAAGAATATTTGGATACTATATCAGTTCCCAAATTTGGGCATGCAGTTCAAAGACACACCTGGTCTGGCACACAACAGAATTAACAGACACAACTCTCATGGCATCTTACCTGTGGCATATTTTTCTGGTTTAAAACCTGCCACAGAAACCACCGCTCCTTTTTGGTGTTTCTTCGTACACGAAACACAGCTGCTACAGAGAACTCCTCAGGAAGGCCTTTAGGAAATATCTTACTGTGGGAGAAAAAGAAAGAGCTATTGTGGGGAGACTGAAGATGGCAAGGACAGAGAAAAAAAGTATGAAGTTCCTTGCACCATAGTATCTCAGTCATAGTTTTCTTAATGAGTTTATAATTTATTATTCAATTTGCCCTAATCTATTGAATGGAAATATGGAAGCAGCCATGACTATATTTCCTATGATATTTTTATCTAATTCTCTCCCTTTTTGTAATCAACTGGTATGATGTAGCTAAAGCTTGAGGCATATAAACACAAGTGGACAGGCTATAGAACTATGTTGCTATATTTTCTTAGACATTGAGATGTCCCAACATAGGAAAATCTCAGAATTCACTGCAGTCTAACAAATAGTAGCCCTTTACCAGCACATAAATAATATTTCTTGATTTTGTTGGTAGAGATGTATACAGAGAATTTCAAAGAATACTAAATAAGTAAATGCATATTTTTCAAGTGAATTTTATCTCATTAAACTCTTGCAAATGAGTTCCTAATACAGATTTTCTGGTGTTAATTTAAGATGCTATTAAATACAATAAAGAAATTTTAGTTTTATTTTTTATTTAAGAAAATTTTCTAGGTAGCAAAAATCTAAAGACAGTTCACATATTCTACCTCAATCTTGCTTCAAAATACTGGTTTCATTAAAATCATGATGAAACTTAGACAAAAATTTCACAACAAACATATCTTGAATTTAGCATTAATTAGCACATGAGAAACATATTTCTCTATGCTGATTTTAAAACTTATTCCCAGTATATTTGAAAACTCTGCAAAATAGGAATTCTGCTTTTCTTAAAAAGAATAGTAAGTAATCATCCTCTTAAAGACATACATGTAAGTTTTATATATAAATAAAATGCCATACATTGTGATGGTAACTACTAACTTCGCTCTACTGAAATTGACAGTTATTGAAACTGACAAACTGTCACAGAGAATACTGAAATTTTCTTTTTACTCTCTGCATTCTCTAATGCAGTCACAAAGTCACATGTGGTAGGGAAATCAGGAAATAATGTGAAAAAGCTGTCATTGTCCAAAATTCTTATTCAGTTGGTTAAACACACACATGTATGTATTTACATGTGTGCGCACACACACATATATATATGCATGCTTATGAATGTGTGTGTGGAGAGAGAAAAGATCAAGTGGTTAACTTAGGATGGTTTGATTTACAATATTTTGACTTTATGATAGCGTAAAAGTAATATACATTCAGTAGAAATCATATTATGTCAAATGTCAAATTCTGATCTTTTCTGGGCTAGAGATGTGTCATACACCATGCTATATACTATACTATCTTTTGATACCAAGTATCAGCAAGGGGCCATTCCAGTCAGCCACGTGATCAGGAAGGTAAACAAATGATACTCTGTGGTGTATTGTGTTGCTAAACTGTGATGTGTGGTAGATTAAGTGTATTAAAGACATTTTGGCCTGCAACATTTTCAACTTAACCAAGAGTATCCCTGTGTGTATAAGTACAATTATATACACTCTAGTTTTATCTTTTCTTGAAAATTTATGCAACTACATTATGATAGCCCTTCTTAAGTAAAAAATTAGCAAATAATTTATTTTCATCAAATCCATCAAAATGAAAGTGTCAAAAATGGAATTTGCTATGAAATGTCAATAGTAATAAAATAAATTTCACTAGTGACAATTACTACATTGATTTAAGTAACATTGCTTATTTAAACAAAACAATATACCTAGCCTTTGGTGCCTATAATTTCTGTTTGACACTGAAGACAAACCTAAAAGATGGGTACATGTGGTGATAAGAGGCAACACCAAACATATTTTCAACTTGAAATTTTGAACAGCTTAGTTATAGCAAAATTACTTTTAAAGGAAAGCTCAAGCCCCACAGGTGTTCTTATTACATGCAATAATAGCCTGTGGCTCCACTTCACTTCCAATTTCTTGCCTCTGTTCTGCCACTTTCTACATTGAAGCTATTGGGATCTGAATGCCATCTCCAGTGTTCTTGAATTTGACAATGTGTGATTCTGGGCATTATTATTTTCATTTACTGTATTGAACACATCTTTTAATATAGATTGTACATTAACAAGAATTTCTTCTATTATTTTCTTCATGACATTTTCTCTTATCCCCCTTTTTAAGGAACTCCATTTCTAGATACCTGCTTAACTACTGTACAATCTATCTAGTGTTCTTACCCTTTTTCTTATATTTTTACATCTTCTAATTTTACTCTACTTGGAGGGATATTTATGATTGTCTAATCTTTGTACTCAACATCAATTTGACGGATATAGAAATATATTCAATATTCTATTTGGCTATTTTCTTCAAAATATCCTGTGGTATCTGTTTATCAATTACATATAAGTCTTTTTCTCTGCTCCTTTGCATATCTCTATTTCATCTGTGTTAGTTTTTCCTTTATGACAATTTGGCCTCTGTCTTCCATTTGGAAGCTGTACTCTATAATTTCTGGTGAAATTATAGAGGCTACTCATATTTAAGAATGAAGCACTGATTGTGAATGTGTATGCTGGCATGGTATGTTGACAAGCAAGCTTCATTGTATAGATGATAACTGATAGATCCCATAAAGGGCTCATCAAATGTTAATACAGGGTGATTATTTCAATACTTGGTTCATCCAAAGAATTCTTCTATTTACTTTTGGTAAGTGGAATCTACCTGACCACAGGCATTCTAGAAGCAGTAGTATATGAAGGAGCCCTATAGGTCACCACGAACAAACTCTTCCCTCCTGTTTTTGATGTCAACCTTATTCCTTCCCTTGCTATCCTGTTTAACTTCAGTCTGGCTTAATTTCTCCAGCTAATAAACTTCTTGCCTCCTGTATGGCTACATGAGAAAGGAGGAGATAATATGGAGCCTCATGCTCTTATGCTCAACACACACACACACACACACACACACACACACACACACACACACACACAAAACCCCTTACTGGCTTCTGTAGAGCCAATTTCCTGCTTATCAAGATTCTCAGGAGTCCAGTGAGGAAGACTCATTTCTCACCAGCATTCCCAGCACTGCAACACTTCAGTTCTAGCCTTTTTCTGTTGCATGAGCCATATTCCCTGTCTTCCACTGCTTTCTGTTTTCTACAACATATTGTGATATTTTTCTGTTGTTTCATATTCTATTCTCTACTCATTTTGTGTTTTAATCTTTAATTTGTCCCTTTCCAAGAGTTCCTTTATCTTGATTTACTACAGATAAAACTTCATCTGACCTTGTGACACCACTGTTATCTTCCCATCTACCCACAAAGCTTTTCAAATGAGCACTGAATAGCTACATCTTCACCAGCCATTCAGTCAGTCCTTAATGTTCCCCTCCTGTATTCTGAAAGCATATCCAATCAGATAATCTCTTAGTTTTAATCCTTGACCCCCTCACTCTTTCTGCAGGTGTTAACACTACAGACATCTTCTTCACTCATATAAAATAACATTCACAACAATAGCTCTAGGGCCCAGCAATGAAATTTGAATTGTAAACTCCCTGATTTCTTTGCTTAACCTACTCACCTTTTGTTCCCATCATTTAGAATAAGGTATGTACCCAATTACTTAAATAACCACGAAGTAAACTGAGTTCAGCATTGTGTGTGTGTGTGTAGTGTGTGTGTGTGTGTGTGTGTGTGTGTGTCTATGTGTTTGGGTAGGAGATTGAACCCAGAGGTATTTAACCACTGAGCTACATCCCCAGACCTTTTTATTTTTTATTCTGAGACAGAGTCTTATTGAGTTGCTTAGGGCCTCACTAAGTTGCTGAGGCTAGTTTGAACTTGTGATCTTCCTGCTTCAGCCTCCTGGGCTGCTAGGATTGTAGGTGTGGGCCACTGTGCCCCATAAGTTCAGCATTTTTAAAGATATAAACACATGGTTTTATTTCACTCCCCTTTTAGCACTTCTATGAGAAAAACATAGAACAAGTGAGTTAATAATAGCAACTGACACTGGTACTCATGTAGAGGACACATGTGGGGACTGTGGGAAACTGAGAGCCCAGTCCATCTACAGGGGCAGCTGCTCTGTAGTACCAGCCAACTGTTACCATATGGGAATGTGGAGTCAGTGTTGCCAGATCATCCCATTTTTTCATAAGAAGCCCAAAATCGAGATTTTTATCTGTCAAGTTTTGAGCTTTAAATTTGGTTGATTAATGCAAGTTTATGAAAAACATTGTCCAAACCAACATGGAGAAGCCAAATAAAACCAGTGACTGCTATTTGGCACCCTTGGATTTATTTTTTATTTTTATTTTCTTAATTTTTTATTGTTGGTTGTCCAAAACATTACATAGTTCTTGACATATCATATTTCACACTTTGATTCAAGTGGGTTATGAACTCCCATTTTTACCCCGTATACAGATTGCAGAATCACATCAGTTACACATCCATTGATTTTCATGTTGCCATACAAGTGTCTGTTGTATTCTGCTGCCTTTCCTATCCTCTACTATCCCCCCTCCCCTCCCCTCCCCTCCCCTCTTCTCTCTCTACCCCCTCTACTGTCATTCATTTCTCCCCTTGTATTATTTTTCACTTTCCCCTCACTTCCTCTTGTATGTAATTTTGTATAACCCTGAGGGTCTCCTTCCATTTCCATGCAATTTCCCGTCTCTCTCCCTTTCCCTCCCACCTCTCATCCCTGTTAAATGTTAATCTTCTTCTCATGCTCTTCATCCCTACTCTGATCTTAGTTACTCTCCTTATATCAAAGAAGACATTTGGCATTTGTTTTTTAGGGATTGGCTAGCTTCACTTAGCATAATCTGCTCTAATGCCATCCATTTCCCTGTAAATTCTATGATTTTGTCATTTTTTAATGCAGAGTAATACTCCATTGTGTATAAATGCCACATTTTTTTTATCCATTCGTCTATTGAAGGGCATCTAGGTTGGTTCCACAGTCTTGTTATGTGAACTGTGCTGCTATGAACATCGATGTAGCAGT